GTAGAAATGTAGAGGTATGGGAAATGCTAATGAAAGAAATAGAATTGTCAATGGCTCGATTTAAACCTTACAATATTGGATGAAGACACATTAGTTTAATGGGTATTTTATCATTCTTTAAAGTAAAACACTATTGTAGTGTAGTACTATGTATAGTGTGAATGATATTGAATTTTTTAATTGTTTAGAATTGTATAAGATCTAATTAAATTATATTATGTCATAGTATCGATACAAAAAAAAAAAAAAAAAAAAAAAAAAAAAAAAAAAAAAAAAAAGTATCGATATCCAGCGTCTTCAAATAGAAAAATCTTTTTCTATCCTCTCAAGATATGTTTCCTTCGTATTACCCGAAGATACATAAAAATTCAATAACATAGAAATCCCAACAGGACTTAGGAAAAAGAAAACATTGCATAAAAATTCTCGTGAAGAAGATAAGGCAATTTTTATTTTATAACATTGTCTTCAGGATTTATGGATAAATGCACGCATTTTATTCAGTCGGCGTTACTCATATCTTACGATACCATTCCCCTTTTTTTTTTCTTCTTCTTCTTCTTCTTGTTCTATTTCTTTTACTTTTTCTTCAGATCTTCGCGATAAAAATGTAAGAATAAGCGAATCCATTATCAACGATACAAATATTGACGAGAGCATCAAGATATTTGCTTGATGGTATTTTAAGTAAATAACACTTGGAATATACTAGTTTGAGTAGACAAGTTGGTGTGAAGAAGAATGACGCGAATCAAGTGTGTAACGATTACTGTCTGTACATACATATAGATATAGACAAAAATACAACATATCGCATATGCGTGAATATTGAAATATAGAATAGAGACGAAAAGATATATGTATATATATATATATATATATATATATATATATATATATATAAATATAGATTGACATTTTCTACGGCTGTTTCTTCTCGTCAAAATTTCATGACATTATATGAGGTCAACCGTCAGCTTGTCTAGAAACGATTTCGAAGTAGGCAAGAATTAGAAAGAGATTCGTCTGGACTTAATAGAATATACGCAACGGCCAAACCAAACATTGCCAAAAGCCGAACATACTCTATGTCGTTAAAAGCTCCGGCCACGTCACGGAAAAGCTTCAGCTGCACCCACGATACGTGTGTGTGTCGAACACTCGCCACTCGACGCGCTAAAGCTCTTCGAAGCCGCTAACGTGAGAGTGTTTGATTTGCCATCGTCGTCAAAACCCGTCGATTAATCCTCCGATTCGAGATATGGATTCGATCGAATCTCATAGCGACTACCTATCTACCAACCTACTCTCGAATGTCCTTCTATGACCTTCAATCGACTTTTTCTCCTTCTCTTCCTCCTATTCTCAATCATCATTGTATCATCGATATATATATATGTGTTTGTGTGTGTGTGTGTGTGTGTGTGTATGTTCGTATGTTGATGACGACCTTTTGCCATTGTTTCCTGTGTAGTATCGAATTTTTAGTACGCCATTTAAAAGATCCGTTATCTGTGCCAAAGATAATATCGCTCGAGTTGCCGCATTTACTATCTTTTGCTTGTAAGATTCAAATAGAATCTTTTCTATCAAGACTAATATTCATGATTCATCGATACGAACGTTCGAGTTTTGTTTTTTCTCTTTTACTTCTTTTCTCTTCTTGTTTTTCTTCTCTTTTTGTTTTCTAACGCGTATCGTAGCAGTAGATTTTATGTACTATATATTATGTATTATGCATATATGTATATAGCAGATATGTACCACAGAAAAATGTTGAATATATATATATATATATATCAGATAGGTATCTGTCTAAGAAAAATGCAACGTGTTCCGTACGAATAATTGTTAAATTTATAACGATAACAGAAGATCTTTATAAATTTTTTCACATTTATTCAATCTTGAAAAATGTCAAAGTTTATTCAAAGAATTTTTAACTATCATCAACATTACCGATGTTATTTATATGGATAAATTCAAACGGTATATCGTTATATATCATTCTACGTGTGGGATGTTACGTGGTTTGCTATTTCATGCCAATTTAATGACTAGAAGTTAAACAAAGACAACAATACTCTGAACTATCCATAGGTATATTCTGAATCTAAGAAACGTATTGCGTGAAATAGAAAATCTAATTACGTTTCTCTCATAAGTCTTGTATATCTACGTACATACATACATATGCATAGATATTACCAGCCAAGAAAAATATTCCTCTAGCAAGAATAAAATCTATGAAATATAATGACAGGTTTTAACAAATTGTTTTACACGATTGGTGAAATTCGAATAAAAGTCGAGGGCGAGCATTTGCTTTTGCTTTTGGTACTCTGCTAGAACACGCCTTTCTTAACATGTGCCGAATAAATACGAAAATTTCTTAGGCACCGAAATAGAATCATTTGCCTAACGCAACTACGGTACCAGTTTGAAAGCACATGGTTTTACGTCGAGCAAAAACGAAATGTAATGTTTTACCTTCTTCTGATTATCTTATAAAAAAAGCGTACGCCACATTTTAAAAGATAAAAAAGAAAGTGAAAGAGCATACTCTAAATCAATATTTTCTAATCTATTTTCGATATTATATATATATATATATATATATATATATATATATACAATACAGTCTAAGAGATTAAATTTCTTTAAATTTCTAATTACATTGAGATTTATCTCTTCTCGAAAAATTAATCTACAAATTGTAAAATCAAATGTCAATATAATACGATATCTTTCAATAATTAAATTTATATTTGTTAAATTGTATATCATTTAGAAACAGATTATATTACCATTTTACTATAACTCACACTTCGTATCCAATTAACGAATCGATTGATGATTTCTAATATCGACATTTTTTTTCTAACATATATCTCCTTTATAGACAATAATGTATGATAATTTTATGCATAATTTTCTCTATACAGTGAAATATTAACTACGATTTTATTACGGCGCACGAAGGACGATCATAAATATTACAATGCTTCTCTATTACTAAGGACACCTTGTTAAAAATATGTACACACATATATGTTATATCAATCATTTTATACGAATAACGAAATAATTTTCGAGTTTGTTTTCATCAATTCTAGTTAGAATCAAAATTGCTTATATTATGTTCAACGTGAAGGTTGAACGATACTTGAAAAAACAACACAGTCCGGAATGATAGATTCTGAATAAAAAAAAAAAAAAAAAAAAAAAAAAAAAGAGAGAGAGAGGGAGAAAGAGAAAAAGAACGATTTGTTGAGATTGAAAAGAACAAAATGATGACTATTGTGTTTTCATTATTCGTGGAAAAATTGTATATTGCGCACCAGTCATCGACCGATCCAGTGTTTACGTTCGCGCAAAGAACGACTCGAGTCGTCGCGCATCGAAGGATCGACCGGGCTTTTAACCCTCCTACATTACCTTCCTTTGACCTTAAAGAAGGTTCGCTTCGTTGATAATATACGTTCTGAGAAACGACTACCGAGGTTATTCTTTAGCGAAAAGAAAGAGAGAGAGAGAGAGAGAGAGAGAGAGAGAGAGAGAGAGAAAGATATAGATAGGGAGAAAGAGAATGTATAACAAGTTCTTTCTTAACGTCTTATAATAAGCTTTTTAAATATATTATATATATATATATATATATGTGTATAATAAATACTAAATCTTTTCAAACGATATATGCAATTTACATATGAATGTATGTGTGTATATGTGTACACATATAGCAATTCGTTCAACTATTGTGATTATTCTACTTTAGATATATTTATACAGAAACATACGTACGTAGGGTAGGTACATTACAAATTTTGTTTTGTACGAGAAATGACGTAAGACAGACGATAAATGACGTAAATGCAGAATGCATAAATGCATGTAGCGAATCAACCCTTCTCAACCGTGTCTTTTCAGAATGATTTATAAGACATTAGATAAATGAACGTATAATGCTACGTGTAACTAAAGAACAAAAAAAGAAAAAAGAAGAATAACTAATAACACGAATTAAGGGAGATTAGAACGAAGTAAATATTTTCACATTTATTATCAGCTTTGTGTTTCATTAAATTCGTAGAAACAAAATAAAGAAAAATTCATAATTTCGTTCTACGATTGTTTCCGAATTTCGGAAAAGTGGATTAAACTCGAATGAAACATTAAATTTGCCAGCTAAACGAATGATATCTCGAAAAACATATTATACGCTTATAATATTATTCGAAAAATAATTGGATAAAAATTGGATATAAGGATCTAATTCTAATATGTAAAAATAATAATAAAGAAATAAAGAAGCCTTCCTCGAGAAGGTACAAAGCTAAGAAGGGAATTTCTCGAGAGAGACATCTAAGATAAGCCGAGCTACGAAGCCAAACTGTTTGAGAAAGAGATAGAGAGAAAGAGAGAGAGAGAGAAAGAGAGAGAGACGGAAAGAGAGGAAAAGGGAAGAACAAGAAGAAGGAAGGAAGCTCGAGCCCTCGAGCTCCGTGAGTTATATCATTGTTTTCATTCGAGAGCCGTGGATCATCAATCGTAACCTGTTGCGGAATAACATTCGAACAATAGGCAGAGGTCGAACGTGACCGTACCAACTAAAAGTAAATCAACAAAGATGAACTTTCGAAACTCGAAAGAATCTTCTTATACGTATATCAATACATACGTATACAACATATCAAGGTAGTAACTGCTAAAACTAGAGATAGAAAGAAAAAGAGAGAGAGCGAGAGAGAGCGAGAGAGAGAGAGAGAGAGAGAGACAAAAAGTATACGAGCAAGTGAGAGAGAAAAAGAGAGCGAGTGAGTAAGAGAGTAGAAAAAAAATAGTTCAATGAAACTAGACAATAAAAAAAAAAAAAAAAAAATATAGAAAAAAAAGAAATAGAAAGAGAAGAGAATTATATATATATATATATATATATATATATATATATATATATATACGTATATATATGTATATATATTTATTTATCTATCTCTTACCTGATTCCTGTGATCGAGCTTTCTCGCTCGAATTCTTCGCGCAGAGACGACGAAAAGAAGAAAAGAGAAACGACAGCCACAAATCCCCCTTCCGGTCGATTGTTCGAGCTTCACGCCATGAGCTTTATAGTTGACGATGCTTCTTCGTTCACGGAGTTACGACGTAGCTTGCTGCTAAAACTTTCCAAGTGGAGCTACCTCTCTTTCCTCTCTCGTCGCCGGGTCATTACATTTTTACGATCGACCGACGCTTTCGTCCTCTACCGTCGCCACCACCACCACCACCACCACCACCACCACCACCACCACCACTACTGACGACGACCTCCTCCTTCTTGTCGTTATCGTCGTTGTAGTCTCAGCTTTTCTTCTTTTCCTTCGGCTCCCAATCTTAATTTTCTTCCTTATATCGCAAATCTCGTTTTCTTTCTCTTTCTCTCTCTCTCTCTCTCTCTCTCCCTCTTTTTCTCTTTCTTTCTATTCCTCTCTTTCACTCTTTCTTTTTCCTCAAACGACGATAAGTTTGGTCGTTTAGATAAAACGCGAAAAATCAAAACGGACGCCTTCTTCTTTTCTTCTATTTCTTTTCTTTGTCTTCTTCCTTTTTCTTCTTTCTCCTTCTTCTCCTCCTCTTCTTCTTCTTCTTTTTCTTCTTCTTCCTCTTCCTCCTTTCTTTCAGTTTTTCCTTTCTCCTCGAGTTAGCACGCGCGCGCGCACGCTCTCCACGACGAAAGCTCGCCGACGAGTAAAGCCCTCACCACTTTCCGGTCTCGTCCGGAGAGGCCAGGACGCGCCTTACGAAAGCACGGCGCAAGCTCCGCATCAGACTCCCCCACCCCTTTTATACTCTTCTTATACTCCATCTCGCTCTTTCTGTGTTCTTTCGTGCGAACGAGAGAGACAGGAAGAACTCGATACGCGCGACGCCATACGCGTGGAACAAAGTGGGACAATCGTGTGTACGTGTGTATTATACGGACACGAAATCTTTTCTTACGAGTCTATTCCACCTCCACCACCCCCACCCCTCTATCGCGATGTCTTTATTTTTTTATTTATTTATTCATTTATATATTTCTTCTTTTTTTTTTTATTTTTTATTTTTTTTTTTATCCTTTTTTTTTTCTCATTTAAGCGACGACATCCCCAAAGAGATTGTTCCTTTCCTAATAACTTCTACCAAAGTATTTTATAAAAGAGAAAGAGACAGAGAAAATACACCGATTGAAATTGTACCGGCTGTTGCTTCTACAAATTTTCTCTCTTCCTCCCTCCCTTTCTTTCTCACTCACTCTCTCTCTCTCTCTCTCTCTCTCTCTCTCTCTCTCTCTCTCTCTATCTATCTATCTATCTATCTATCTCTCTCTGTCTCTTTCTCTCTCTTTCCTTTTCTTTTTTCAACAATATATCTAATTGTTTTCTTAAATCTTACAATATACTACACTCGATTGAATGATACAAAGTGATGGATGAAAATACTGATATATAAACAAATTGTAACGACCATAAATGATGTTCATTGATATTAATATAAAATAGATATGCACGATAATCGTAATTAATTGTAATATAATAATAAAAAAAGAAAAAAAAAAAAAAATTATTGTAAATGTTAAAAAAAATTTTTTTTCTCTTTCCTTTTATTCATCGCCGCATAACTCGTTTACTTCTCTATTACCATCTACCATTCTTTATTCGCGTTGAAATTTTCATCCTGAATTTAATTTACGGCGATAATGTTAATGCACGTAAAAAAAAAAAAGAAAAAAAAAGAAAAAATTGGATGCATGAAATTGTTCGCTATAATTATTCGAGAAATTCCGATACACGCATACAGTGATTGATTATTACTTTTGATCAGTATTGTTCGTACAACATCATCCCACGATCAATAATTTTATTTGCCTACGTATATTATGCAATAATAGCGTGCCATATCTTTTTTCGACAATTATATAGAAATGTTCATTGTAATTTGGGAATTCGTAAAAGAATGAAAGAAAAGAAAGAAAGAAAAAAAAAAAAAAAAGAAAAGGAAAAAAAACAGAAAAAGAAAAACCAATAGGATAAATAATAATCGAAAAGTGACGTATAAACCTACTACAGATACAATTTTTATTAACTGCATTCGTTGCAATAAAGATGCTCCATCGATAACTTACTGTTGAAACACTATTTTGTTAGTACCATGTCTATCCGCACTTCTCTCTTGAAAATAAACATCCTAGATATAGTACGCATATATATGTATATACTATTTCATGTGCATAGATCTTTATCATTTTTATACAGTGTTCTATATTATCGATGCTTCGCTAGAAACCGATTGCAGCGCTAACAAATATAACAGAATTAAAAAGATATTGATTAAAAATTAAATCTATTTTATTTCACTAAATTGAATAATATTCGTGTAGAGTAATATATTATCATGATTGCTCGATTGGAATTGTATAGAGATTGTTAGTAGCAAGAATTGTACTTTTTTATAAGATTAAAAATTATTCAGATTTTTATAAAGTAAATAAATTTCAATGTGTACGATAATACAATCGAGAATAAGCTTGATCCATTTGCTCGTCAGATGACGCTTCGATCGAATCCTAAGGACTCTTTATATAGATATGTTAAGTGTTATACAAGTGTTAATTTGTTATGTTTTTTTATTATTCCAATGTTATGTTCTATTTTATACGTTTGGATGGAATTCAATTGCAAGTATTATTAATGTATTTTATTTTAAAATAAAAAAAACAATATAATTACTCATTATTGTTCTTGTAATTCATTAATTTTTCTATTAATGAATTGATATGTTAATGGAACAATAATAATTTATTTTTTTAATCATCTTCAATGAGATACTATTGATTGAAATCATTTATAAAGGACAACTCATTATTATTATTTAATTAATAATAAATCAATAATTTTAAAATAGATCATTTTTTGTTATATTATTTAAAATAAAAAAAGCACACAATATAAAAAAGATATACCATACTAACATTTTCTATTTTTATAACTGTTCAATATCTAAAAGTGATCAAAGAAAATTTATAATTAAATGCAAAATACATTCCAATTATTACATATTGAATAATCTACAAACTATATGCTAGTTAAGATCAAATGCATTATTGCAGCAATTTTTAATAATACATTCAGTATATTATATGTTTCTTTTATTATAGCATTTATTTCCATGCGAAGCATTGCTAATCAATAATCCATTATACAAATTTTATTTATAATATACCATTGATATAATGACATTAATAATATCATGTTAAAATCTAAATATCTATAATATACTACAATTTATTCTTACATATCTTGTACTACAACTTGGAAATGATCATCTGTGCTTTCATTCATTGATTTCATTTATATCTCATTATATATCATTCCAATGAACAA